GACGAGTATCGTACATTTCAGGACGAATGGACCGAAGAATTCGCCTTTGTGGAGAGAGCGGGTTCTGCGTGTGTCTAATTTGCAATGACAAAATTACATCGTTGAAACGGCGAATGTAAAGCGGCACTTCGACACGCGCCACGCTACCTTTGCATCAAAATACCCTGCGGGAGACAGCAGAAAGAAAGCGTGCCAGAGCTTCTGAGCAGGGTGCAGCTAGCCAGCAGCAACTCCGCGGTATGGACCCGGCAAGGTGACTATAATTCGGCTAGCTTTGCTGGTTCTTTAGCAATAGTGAGGAAACGGAAAACCATTCACAGATGGCGAGTATGCTAAAACGTTCATGCTGGATGTAGCCAATGAACTTTTTGATGATCTTCCGAACAAAGACAAGATAATCAAACGGATACAAGACATGCCTCTGTCGGCAAGAACTGTTCAATGATCGTACCATCGTGATGGCAAACAAAGTGGAGGGAAACGCAAGTGAAGGACATAAATGCAGCGCCGTTCTTTTCTCTGGCTTTGGATGAGTCAACAGACGTGAGCCATTTGTCGCAGTTCAGCGTGATTGCAAGATATGCTGTTGGTGACACACTGCGCCGAAGAAAGTCTTGCTGTTCTGCCATTACAAAGGGTCCACAAGAGGTGAGGATTTATTCAAGTCTTTCATGGAGTTTGCTCAAGAAAAAAGTCTACCTATGGATAAACTTCTCTCAGTGTGTACTGATGGTGCTCCGTGTATGGTGGGGAAAAACAAAGGATTTGTGGCGCTTCTCCGTGAACATGAAAATAGACCCATCCTAAGTTTCCATTGCATTATACACCAGGAGGGCACTTTGTGCTCAGATGTGTGACAGGCAGTTTGGCGAAGTGATGTCGCTGGTCCATTCGTGTGATCAACTTTATTGTTGCCCGAGCCTTAAATGATCGCCAGTTTAAAACACTGCTGGATGAAGTTGTAAATAACTATCCTGGTCTGCTTTTGCACAGCAATGTGCGTTGGTTGTCCAAGAGGGAAGGTGCTTAGCCGTTTTGCGGCTTGCCTGAACGAAATCCGGACTTTCTTGAAATGAAAGGCGTCGGGCATCCTGAGCTAGCCGACACCGAGTGGCTCCTCACGTTTTACTATATCGTAGATCTGACTGAACATCTGAACCAGCTCAACGTGAAAATGCAAGGCATTGGAAATACAGTGTATCCCTTCAACAAGCTGCTTTTCATCACGGATCTTGAAACAGGTCCGTTTTACTACATTTTGAAAAACTGAGCCAATTTAAAGATGCATGCACAGCAAAGTGAGCCCATTCAAACCTTGATCTCCACCAGCTAGCTGGCTGCACATCCAGTCTCCTACAGTCCTTCAAAGCACGCTTGGAGAATTTCGTGAGCACACTCGTCTTTTTAAGTTCATCACCCATCCAACGAGTGTTCACTGAACACAGCCGACCTGAATTACATCCCTGGTGTCTTCCGTCAGAGATTTTTGAAGCAGAAGTGGCTGACCTGAAGGCCTCAGACATGTGGGTGAATAAGTTCAAGTCACTGAATGAAGATTGGAAAGAATCACACGACAGAAAGCGGAGTTGGGCGAGCAAGCACATGTGGACAGAAATGAAAAAACTCCAACCCGAAGACCAGCTGATTCTCAAACTTGGAACGCGCTTCCTGTCACATACCACACACTGCAGCGTGTGAGTATTGCTGTATTGACCCTGTTTGGATCTACGTATGCATGTGAGCAGTCATTCTCACATCTTAAAAACATCAAGTCCAACCTACGATCACGTTTAACGGATGAAAGCCTCAACGCTTGCATGAAGCTTAACCTCACCAAGTACCAACCCGACTACAAAGACATCAGCAAATCCATGCAGCACCAGAAGTCGCATTAATGGTGAGTGTTATAACAACATTATTTAAAAGAATAAATTCAGAGGCTTATTATACTGACATTTAGTTGAATTCACTTTTAAAATATATTACATGGCTCTCACTGAAATAAATTTCCAATTTTTTTGCTTTCATGGCTCTCTTAGTCAAAAAGGTTCCCGACCCCTGGCCTAGAGGATACGTCCTCATACTTAGTGTGCCCTCACACTATACTCTGCTTAACGGGTACCGCCACTGGGCCGTTCGGACCTGGCACTGACAAGGGCCGGAAGGTCGGAAGTCCCAGGCACTATCTAGATGTCTTGAGTCTTGAGGTGAGTGCGGACTGACTCATGCTGGGAGAGCTGCCCTTTATATCCTTCCTCTCCCAACCGTCCTGTCTCGAGAGGGACTGGGTCCAACCGTTGCCCCCCCAGCCCCCTCCCTCAGTGGGCTCTGGCCCCCTCACCCCTGGTCAACGGTTATTGTAGTCGTGACTCATACAATACTGCTATGCAGGTAAGTATAATGTTGCACGTAACAATGCCGCTACATTGGTAACGAGCTGAGATTAGGAGCACACTTTTAAAGGGAGTGCTCCTAATCTCAGCTTGTTACCTGTATAAAAGACATCTGTCCACAGAAGCACTCAATCAATCAGATTCCAAACTCTCCACCATGGCCAAGACCAAAGAACTCTCCAAGGATGTCAGGACAAGATTGTAGACCTACACAAGGCTGGAATGGGCTACAAGACCATTGCCAAGCAGCTTGGTGAGGTGACAACAGTTGGTGCGATATTCGCAAATGAAGAAGCACAAAAGAACTGTCAATCTCCCTTGGCCTGGGGCTCCATGCAAGATCTCACCTCGTGGAGTTGCAATGATCATGAGAACGGTGAGGAATCAGCCCAGAACTATACGGGAGGATCTTGTCAATGATCTCAAGGCAGCTGGGACCATAGTCAACCAAGAAAACAATTGGTAACACACTACGCCGTGAAGGACTGAAATCCTGCAGCGCCGCAAGGTCCCCCTGCTCAAGAAAGCACATATATACATGCCCGTCTGAAGTTTGCCAATGAACATCTGAATGATTCAGAGGACAACTGGGTGAAAGTGTTGTGGTCAGAGGAGACCAAAATGGAGCTCTTTGGCATCAACTCAACTCGCCGTGTTTGGAGGAGGAATGCTGCCTATGACCCCAAGAACACCATCCCACCGTCAAACATGGAGGTGGAAATATTATGCTTTGGGGGAGTTTTTCTGCTAAGGGGACAGGACAACTTCACCGCATCAAAGGGACGATGGACGAGGCCATGTACCGTCAAATCTTGGGTGAGAACCTCCTTCCCTCAGCCAGGGCATTGAAAATGGGTCGTGGATGGTATTCCAGCATGACTATGACCCAAAACACACGGCCAAGGCAACAAAGGTGTGGCTCAAGAAGAAGCACATTAAGGTCCTGGAGTGGCCTAGCCAGTTTCCAGACCTTAATCCCATAGAAAATCTGTGGAGGGAGCTGAAGGTTCGAGTTGGCAAACGTCAGCCTCGAAATCTTAATGACTTGGAGAAGATCTCCAAAGAGGAGTAAAACAAAATCCCTCCTGAGATGTGTGCAAACCTGGTGGCCAACTACAAGAAACGTCTGACCTTTGTGATTGCCAACAAGGGGTTTTGCACCAAGTACTAAGTCATGTTTTGCAGAGGGGTCAGATACATATTTCTCTCATTAAAATCAATTTATAACATTTTTGACATGCGTTTTTCTGGATTTTTTTGTTATTCTGTCTCTCACTGTTCAAATAAACCTACCATTAAAATTATAGACTGATCATTTCTTTGTCAGTGGGCAAACGTCCAAAATCAGCAGAGGATCAAATACTTTTTTCCCTCACTGTACCATTTCAGACGTCAAGGATGGATGAACCAATGACAGCGACCACATAGCGGCCTTACAGGGTCTTGCCGTTGGTCTATGCAATTTATCGGATGTCAGCAGGCACCTGCGGATGTAACCACACTAAATCATTCACTATCGAGGCCGAGGCCAAATATAACTTTGCTCAAGCTCATTAATTGGTTTGGACAGACGCCAGATATTGCAAGAGTGGTCTCTCATCCCCTGTGTGACGAGGAATGGTAGAAGGATGCCAGCCAAGATGTCTGTTTTGTGAGGGAATGCTGCTCAAATGTTTCTTTATTGGTTGTGTCGGATCCCAAGCATACATAAGTGGGAACTCTTGCGCTGCATGTGGAGCGAAGACAATATGCTGCAAGGACAGTGAGGACACACATCTCAGTTTGCTTGGCATGGCAGTTTAGTCATTCGGCCATCCCATCTCTCTGAAGGATGGTATGGGGAGATTGAATTTTATTTTGTACCTAGAATATTGCATGCATACGTCCACCGATTGGGAAGCAAAAAATCCTGCCCTGGTCCATCAGAAATCGCTCAGGGAGGCCGTTTGTCTACAACATAGCCATTTATGAATACATCTTTAATGGACTGACTGCCTTCTGGTCCAGAAGAGGCCAAGCAACAGGCTAACGGGTGCAATATTCAATCCCGACTAGCAGATTTTAAGTTAAGACTGGTGGCACATATTTAGTTTGAGAGATTGTTGCAAGTTGACTCTTTCCCGTTCCGATGATGTACGTGTACGTCATCAGAACCGGTACGTGTACGTCATCAGAACAGGAGGAAAAAACTAAAATAACTTATCAGTACCGATGTTCCCACAAGGCCATGCAGGAGGGAATGTGGCAGTTTATTGCCAGCTATCAGAGTGTCGTGTTGCTACAGTTTTTCTGAGGTGAGTAACAATGTCTTTAAAACAGCGCTAACGCCTCTCTAAATAAAATTAACGCTAAACCGTTTGCGAGTTGTGAGATTCAGCAGTTAATGGGACCCACACCCTGTAACTTGCAGACATCTCGCAACGGGAAAGGGTTAAGGTAGCTGTCTGAACGAGAGTGCACTTGTTCGTATTCTTACTCTAGATCATGAACGGTAGAGTTCTTGTTGAACTCAAAGAATCCGAATCAGACGCGCGCTGTGCCCGACAGACCGAGCAGAGCTCCAATCCATCTAACACGGACACATTCCAATAGGAAATTTGTGAGATGTAAACAAAAGAGCGTTTGTTTATTATAAAAAAAAAACTAAATACTTTTTACCACAGTATTTTAATCAATAATTTTGTCAAAAACCTTGGTAAGATATGTTCATCTAGTTTAGGAGCTGTGTAAAGCCATTATAAATCCATACCCAGAGAATGCAACTACTTTCCATTGATGATAGTTAAACACGTTTGCATTTGTAAATTGTGGTCAATCTAAATATATATTTGGTGCATTGTGTACAGGGCTTTGCCACTTCGGGAAATTAAGGAAATTCAATACATTAAAATATTCCATTCAACTGGAAGATGACTCAGTTCTGCTTGTGCATTGTACAATTACTTGGAAGCAGGCTAATGGACTACCCTAGGTGTTACCATGATTAATAACCCATTTTCAACATTAAAACAAAAAAATACGAACACAGAAATGTGTATGAGATTCATTCAATGACATCGATGAGTATGCACAAATGTAGCACTTGAGCTACAATTTCATTGAGAATTTCCTCATGAATTTCAGAGTCCACAAATATTGCATGAAAAATATATATATACATTAAGAATACCTCAATTCTCTCTGGTAGTATATTATTCATCTGGTAAACACAGGAACACCTCAATCAATGGACTCCTTTTCAGGAGCAACCTGGCAAGTTTTCAAAGTAGAGGGTGATGACTGCTATATATTTATATTCCAAATTAGTAGTTTCCAGGTAAGTTTTCTAATTTGGAGTAAAGGCAGCAACATTTTTTCCAACTCTTGCGCACGACATCATATATGACCTTTAACGTCCAATGTGAAGAAGTCGAGGATGTTTACGTTTAAAACGAATATAGTATTAATCAGGAAGGCTACTGGATTTGAACTGAACGTATGGAACAAGCGGAGAACACGCTACTGCTGAGGCCATGTCACCACCACTAAGTGCAGTTGAGTAGTGCAGCTGAGGTCGAGGAAACTTGCGTCTCTGCCTACCGTCATTTCAGAAGTGGAATCTATTCATCTGGGATTGGGGTGTTGCAGTTTCCGTGGTATATTCGTACCGGTTCGTCGCACGCAAAGTACCTATCAAACACATCGGCATATCCGTGGTCTCGCCACCATGTGCACAGCTGTCGGTTCCAGCCGCATGGCAGCACGTGGAACAGATGAGGTTCTGCGGCCCCTAATACCGTGAAGAAGTCCTGGTCACCGAGGTGGCCACGAAACGAGAAACGGGTCGCCAAGTCCTTGACGGCAGACGGCGTCAAGGCTTCCGTGTATTTGGCCGAGTTCCGCATACGAACTAAATCCAGGAGCAGGACGCCACTGTTGAAGCCCGGTAAGCCGCCCATGGGCGGCTCGCCAACGTGTGTGCCAGGGTGGTCCTTGCGGTACTGCCAAAATGCATGCCTGTAACAAAATTTGACGGTAATGTGTATAGAGTAATAATTATTGTTTTTTGAAAGAGCTCCTCTTTTATGCCAGGGCAGCTCAGTGTTTTGCACACAGATAAATGACTTGCAATCACGTTGTCTCAACACATCTGAAAAGGCACCCAAAGTGGGGGCAGCTGCCCGTGTAGCGTGAGGTGACTTGGCACTCGGCCTGCGAGCAGGCGTCAGTCTGTGGGTAGGAGGCAATTATTGCAATGTGTATTTATATTTGAGTAATTTATACAGCACATTAAATTATGTAATACTACTCTTTGGTTTTTTCGGTAAAGTCACGTATAAATAAGTAATAATAATAAAATAAAATTACATAATAGTATATGTACGACGTTTCGATTGCAACGCAAGCAATCATCATCAGGTATAGAAGAGCTAAATTTAAGAGAGAGAGGAAACACAGAGAGATGGAGAAGCACATCAAATTGAACAAGATTTAGCAAAATTTGGAAACAATATAATGCAGCACAGAGGGTCGGTCAAAACAAGCTTGCGTTGCAATCAAAACGTCGTATGTATACTATTATGTAATTTTATTTTATTATCATTTCTTATTTATACGTGACTTTACCGAAAAAACCAAAGAGTAATTCCTGCAGGCACGAAAGCACCAAATCAAGTTGAACCGCCTCTACGGGGAGGTATGAAGTATGTGTCTTTGCGTTGTCTCTGTTTGTGTCTCAGTGTATGTGTCGTGTCTCTCTCTCAAATGTCACACTTAACTTAAGTTTGTGTCTCTATGTTGTCTCTACCTGTGTTTCTGCCTTTGTGTCTACGTGTATGTCTTGTTTCTCTCCACAGTCCCTGTGGGCATGCTAATCTGATTGCTGTGCTTTTTCCCCCCCCTCACCACGCTGCAGCGGCATGTGCGGTGGCTCCCAGTCCATGCTAATTTTGTATTCCTTTGCTCTATGTCCACCCCCCCTCCCTCCCCCTCTATTTAAGGCTTCGACACAGAAGCATTGTTTCACTTTGTCCCATGTGTGTGTCTCTCTCTGTGTGTCTATGTGCTGGCTCTCTCTGCTTGGATGTCTATAAATGTGTCTGTGATCTGTAACGTAATCAGCCAGACCATGCGTTAATTGTGTTTTGACCGACCCTCTGTGCTGCATTATATTGTTTCCAAATTTTACTAAATCTTGTTCAATTTGATGTGCTTCTCCATCTCTCTGTTTCCTCTCTCTCTTAAATTTAACTCTTCTATACCTGATGATGATTGCTTGTGTTGCAATCGAAACGTCGTATGTATACTATTATGTAATTTTATTTTATTATTATTTCTTATTTATACGTGACTTACCGAAAAAAACAAAGAGTAATTCCTGCAGTCACGAAAGCACCAAATCAAGTTATGTACTACTACATCGCACAGAAATGCTTTCCCTCTTTCTGCCTGAATTCTTAACACGCAATGTTTAATAGTTACTTCAAGGTTACTCTAAAAATTGGAGGCAAATTTCAACAGCTAACGAATACCAGGCTAGTGTGGGTTTGAATGGGGTTCTAGGTGAACACCCATCACCACTAGAAGAATGACAGTCCGATGGTCAGTGGAAAGATCAGCTGCACGGTCGGTCCTGATGTCAATGACTTGGGTTCGCATTCACTGTTCTGCTACTACATAGTCCAGCAGATGTTCTTGCTTTGAGTGCACCCAATAATGTTAGAGGTGGAACAGCATGTTGGTGATTACAAACCCATGTACAGATATCTAGCAGATCCTACGCTTAATAAGCTGATCTGGCCCATGGCCTTCCAACCACTCCCACCCACCCAACTACTAACATCATCACCCAGTCTGCAATTAAAATCACCCAATAGGATGACTATCCCAAGCGGACACGTTAGCCAATGCTAGGGACAGCAGACCACAAAAGGTATCGGGACTGCTCAGCCTTGGCCGCGTCCCTCTAAATATGTTCATATATCGGTATTCACCGATACTTGCATAATTGACAATGTGGATGAATATTGGTTTCTGCGATGCCGTGCACCTGTACACAGGCTGCATCTCGTAGGCGATGCCGATAAACAGCGTCCGGTCCAAACTTATCAAACTCGGAGAAGAGGAGGCGAATGTTGCCATGAGCTTCAAGTCCAGATCCAGCTGCACGATTCGCTCCATCTCTACCCGGTCGTTCACAAACCAGGGGGGAAAATGGTAAACTTTTAAAAATGTTTGTTTGAAAAAGACAAAACGTAACAATATCTATGGGACCATTTTTGCCAGTAATGTATCAAGATAAAAAAAGTCTTTACCCTTTTGGTCACAAAGACCAGAGGTGTTAAGATGTTCTAACACTACATAGACACCTACAACAAGGTGTTAACGTATGTATGTTGAACTTATTTTGCGCCGTACGCAGCTAATCTTGCGAATCAGAAGTGATGAGTCCTGTATTAACCCACATGCTTGTGGTAAAACATGCAAACAAAATATGCTTTGATCATGTACGCATTGTCCTTGAAATTGATTGGCCTACACCAGAGACAGACTCTGGATGGCTTTGTCTCACCAGTGCTAAACCAAAGGCTGCCAAAAGGTGAATGATACAAGGACGTTTAATAGCTCGAGTTAAGCAGACATATCCATGGGACCATGTACAGTGAGGGAAAAAAAGTATTTGATCCCCTGCTGATTTTGTACCGTTTGCCCACTGACAAAGAAATGATCAGTCTATAATTTTAATGGTGGGTTATTTGAACAGTGAGACAGGAATAACAACAAAATCCAGAAAAAACGCATGTCAAAAATGTTATAAATTGATTTGCATTTTAATGAGGGAAATAAGTATTTGACCCCTCTGCAAAACATGACTTAGTACTTGGTGGCAAAACCCTTGTTGGCAATCACAAAGGTCAGGACGTTTCTTGTAGTTGGCCACCAGGTTTGCACCACATCTCAGGAGGGATTTTGTCCCACTCCTCTTTGCAGATCTTCTCCAAGTCATTAAGGTTTCGAGGCTGCCGTTTGGCAACTCGACCTTCAGCTCCCTCCACAGATTTTCTATGGGATAAGGTCTGGAGACTGGCTAGGCCACTCCAGGACCTAAATGTGCTTCTTGAGCCACTCCTTGTTGCCTTGGCCGTGTTTTGGGTCATTGTCATGCTGGAATACCATCCACGACCCATTTTCAATGCCCTGGCTGAGGGAAGGAGGTTCTCATCCAAGATTTGACGGTACATGGCCCCATCCATCGTCCCTTTTATGTGAAGTTGTCCTGTCCCAAGCAGAAAAAACACCTCCAAAGCATGTTTCCACCTCCATGTTTGACGGTGGGGATGGTGTTCTTGGGGTCATAGGCAGCATTCCTCCTCCAAACACGGCGAGTTGAGTTGATTCCAAAGAGCTCCATTTTGGTCTCATCTGACCACAACATTTTCACCCAGTTGTCCTCTGAATCATTCAGATGTTCATTGGCAAACTTCAGACGGGCACGAATATGTGCTTTCTTGAGCAGGGAGACCTTGCGGGCGCTGCAGGATTTCAGTCCTGTACGGCGTAGTGTTACCAATTGTTTTCTTGGTGACTATGGTCCCAGCTGCCTTGAGATCATTGACAAGATCCTCCCGTGTAGTTCTGGGCTGATTCCTCACCGGTCTCATGATCACTGCAACTCCACGAGGTGAGATCTTGCATGGAGCCCCAGGCCGAGGGAGATTGACAGTTCTTTTGTGTTTCTTCCATTTGCGAATAATCGCACCAACTGTTGTCACCTTCTCACCAAGCTACTTGGCAATGGTCTTGTAGCCCATTCCAGCCTTGTGTAGGTCTACAATCTTGTCCCTGACATCCTTGGAGAGTTCTTTGGTCTTGGCCATGGTGGAGAGTTTGGAATCTGATTGATTGCTTCTGTGGACAGGTGCCTTTTATACAGGTAACAAGCTGATATTAGCACTCCCTTTATGAGTGTGCTCTTAATCTCAGCTCGTTACCTGCATAAAGGACACCTGGGAGCCAGAAATCTTTCTGATTGAGAGGGGGCCAAATACTTATTTCCCTCATTAAAATGCAAATCAATTTATAACATTTTTGACATGCGTTTTTCTGGATTTTGTTTTTGTTATTCTGTCTCTCACTGTTCAAATAAACCTACCATTAAAATTATAGACTGATCATTTCTTTGTCAGTGGGCAAACGTACAAAATCAGCAGGGGATCAAATACTTTTTTCCCTCACTGTATTAGCAATACTGTACAGTACTGGCAACAGTAGTTATATCTATGGGACCCATAGATGCGTTGGTGTTTGCATTGTCCATGTACAATTTCAGACGACACGTACATTATCAGTAGATTTTGTTTGAATGTTTAACCACAAGTATGTGTGGTTAATGCAGATTGCATGCCTTGAAATAGGTGGCTATTTGGTGTTTGAACATCCTAACACCTGTATTCATGCCAGAAAGGGTAAAGCCTATTTTATAATCTTGATAACAATAATCATCTTTGCATTTATACCGCAGCATTTAACTGCCTCAGCGACTTAAAAGCAACTTAAATTGCATCTCATCGTAAATATTCCACGGGCACCCCTATCAGCAGTTGTCCATGTGCGGCACAAGGTGACTCGGCACCAGGATACAAGCTGGCATCTGTCTGCCAGTTGAGGGGCGATATTGAAATGTGTAATCCCTTAGTAATTTGCAATTAAGTGAAATCAGAGAAAGTAAAACGGCATATGTTTGAATTTTTCTGAACAATTAAGCAACATTTTGGCAACTGCAACATATTAACATTCGAAATGTGTTATAACATCGGATCAAAATATAGGTGAAGGCGTCTATCAAGTTCACGAGAACAGTAACCATGGTAGCAGCGATAGAACAGTGATAAGGAGGTAATTGACCGCTGGTGAGCCTTTGACTGGAGCTAATCGGTGAGTGCTGAACGAACAATCACCACTCCACTCCAGATATGACAGCAGTATCAAACTTTGACTGAACGTGTGCTTTTTTTTTACCAATCCCTTGCTGTCGTTAAAAGTCGCACTTGCTGAACAATGTCTGGTGTGCCGCAATCCATTGTCATGAGCATGCATTCTTAACCGCCATAAATGCACTCAACATGAGCCAGGGTGACATCTGCACTTACTATGAACTTGCATGTGTACTGTGCTCTCTCTTTCAGAGAGCAGAGCCCCCTATTGGTTGCTGTCCCTGAGCCGCAAAAGATGATGCAACACCTATTTTTTTTTACCAGGGAAGGCCCACTGAGCGAAATAGGTATTTTTCAGAAGCAACCTGGCCACAAATTATCACTCAATGAAGTGGTTCATCATTTTTAAATATATAGCAGTCAAATACTCTAAACACATGTTTCTAAATGTGGAGGGAAAAATCAGAGGACCCGGAGAAAAAATCCACACTACCATAGGAAGACATGCAAACTACAACTAAAAGGCATCAGGGTCGGAGGATCGAAGCCACGACCTCCTGTATACAAGACGAGGAAGTTAGCATCTCGCCACCATGGCACCCCATTACTCGGCGATGGGACATCAGTCAGCCAGTGCAAGGCGATGCTTGCTATGCAAGTAACATATGGGTACGTTTTCAAATTTCTATCGGGATTGACTTTTTTTGCTAAGTTATGGGGGGAAACTGGGAGAACTTGGAGGAAACTGTACAGAACAGGAGGAGAACATAGAGTTCCCACAGAGAGACGCCTCAGTTGGGAATCGGAAAGAGGCCCTTCTTGCTGTGTGGTGCAAGTGCACATTTAGAAACATGCGTTTTGAATATTTGGCTGCTATATATTTCCATATGATAAGCCACTTCGTTGAGCTATCATTTGTGATGGCCAGGTCGCTTCTAAAAAAAGAGCTATAAAACTCAGTGGGCCTTGCCTAATATAGTTTAGTTTTTAGTTACCATTGTGCCACCACCCTGCTGCCCCAAATACATTTTATAGAAATCAAACAGGAGGATGGATAAGAGGAATTTCTATGTATTCTTATCACCAGTGAAGTAATATTCTTTAAGCAAACCTTTGTCTAATGGGGACTTCTGTTCAAAGTGAATTCCTTCCTATGAGCATTTAGGTGGTGCTCATCTGTTTACAGCACTAAAACCCCTGGCAGAAAGTCCACATTCCTATGGCTGGGGAAAGCCTATCCATAGGGCAACCACAGATAACGTCCCCAAATAGTGCTTATTTTGTCGACCCTAGAGGGGATGATGGGCCGAGTCAACCTCCAAGCAGGATATGAACTCACAACCTCATGATTTCGAGCCATTTGCTCTACAGTTGAGCCACCAGGCTGGTTGTTGGGGGTTTACGGAGCACGCTGTAACATTTCACACATCAGGATCGAGAGGCAACACAAGTAGCACTGAGGCCACGCTTTCCCCTTGCCCTCACCTCGTGGCATAAAGAGGTGCATGGCAACAGACATAAAAAAGATGGCATCATTGAAGTAAGATCCGGAGCCAGCACTGAAGTGGCTCTGCATTGGCTCCACAATGGGATGCAGCTGTTCAGCCAGCTGTCCCACACCATGCACAGTCACCTGTAGACACACGTCAATACGCATCACTTATAGGGAGACTTTGCTAAAGACAGTTGCAAAATGATTTTTGTTAACTAGACGGGAACTCAAAGAGGGCAGGATAGTCTAATTTTAACTGACCTGGGTCGTCAAAATGACAAAAGGAATAGCATGAATACTAAGTACACAGATGAAGCAAATAGAAATAGGAACAAAATCAACCAATTCGATTCAGAGTAGAAACCAAACAGAAATAAGAGCTAAAATAATCATGGAACAGAAAACAATCCAAAACAGTCCAAAAACATATTTTAAATAAAATACATTTCCCGTAATGGCTCAGGAAAAACATTGTTAAATAAAGCATTCACAATAAAGTTACATTACAGAAACATCTTAGTTGAGATGGCTGAAGTCACATGTACATCCCATGTAGAGCAACTATTTGATTTTTTTAAAAACAAACGTACCTTGGAATGAAAGGAAGCCTTCCCAAGGAACGCATCGAGAAGCTTCTGCCCGAGGGCTTTGCTCGGCTCGTCACAGACCAGGTGCATATGAAGTAATTCGTTCTCTGAAAGGAAAATAAATGCATTCAACATCAGAATGGTGTCCAAAAAAATTAGTTGTTATACATACATTGTTCTTACAGTCAGTGAAACAAACTAATTATCACATTCCATAATTTGTATAAGTGATTTTAATATCCTCAGTGTCACCTTTGACAACCACACCCTCAACACGACAAAGAGATGCAATCACCATCTCAGGGCCAAATGGAACACACCAACCAATGTTGACTACAGCCACAGCAAACACTATGGTGTGTAACATTATCAGCACCCGCCTTGATTACAGAAACACCTCCTCCATCAGAAAAAACACCTCAACAAACTGCAGCATTTCCCAAAAAATCTTGAACCGGCTCCACATCAACTCAAGGATGCAGTACAACATCACTATCCTTTTCAAGGTCTCCCGTCATACCTCTCCACAATTCCAACTCTACTGACTACAGCAAACAGCCACTTCCTACGGAGAACGTCAATCTGTTCATGGTGCCCACAACCAGGATATCAGTTGAGCAGCGTTTCTTCGGGGCTGCACGAGCAGCCATCTGGAATTGTTTCCCAATGCGCATACGCATTCAAGCAGCAACTCAAGGCTCGCACATGTTCAGGCTGCATATGAGGGGCTGAGCTCTGGCCCCACGCCTCCGAATTTTCGATTGAATATGTCCAATTCGTGAAATATGTACACACCCTATAAATTTTTATTCCCCTGATTCCCAAAATATCAAACGGGAAGCAACAAAGAGCACTATTACCTTTGTAATGGGTTAGAGTGGATGAGTGAGTGCGTGGGTCAATAAAGGGGTGAGTGTGCAAGTGAGGGAGTGGGCGAGTGAGGGAGTGGGCGAGTGAGGGAGTGGGTGAGTGGGTTAGTGGACGAGTGTGTTGTTGCGACCTGCAGCGTGGTGGTTGAACATGACAGGGAGGTGAAACAGTCAGTCTGGTAGACCGAGTCCTCAACAAAGGTGGAAAAACTTAAGAATTAAGTTTATGGGAACAGTAGCCATGGTCGTAGCGACAGTACCAATGTAGACTATCTTAGGGTCTCTCTGTGTCCGGTGGCATAACCGTTAGTTCTGGGGAGGCACACAACTTTCCGGCGCTGCAATTACACAGCCTTGTATGTCTCACTTCTCTCATATTTGGCTAGATCTTCTGTTATGAATACACCTATGTCTTACATTTATCTTGGAAATACACCTCTCCTATCACATTTCCCTTCTGAAATATCAGTCATCAACCTAGTGGAGCACTGTGTAAAGATGGAAAAATGTTTGTTTCCTGACCAAGGCCCATCATCTGTAACCATCCGTAAAACACAAGATGACTAATTGTGTCGTATATTTCCGAGTTTGCTCTATTCTTAATCCGCTCCTCCAACGTGAAAGGAAGTGTAATTATACTTCAGAATGTAATTTCATGTTTATTTGACTATATTCCAATTAACAAAAAATTATTCATCTATGACACTGCTATGAAAGGGAATGTATATAATAGGCAATGTTTCAGGCAATGGCTCATCTTGATTGCACATTAACGTTTCCTTTGACGGCAGTTATTGACGAACGTGTTGAGATGCTTAATGTGTGCTTGCGCACCACCGCCAACGCAGTATCGCCAAATAATTTGCATTTCAATAAGGCTTAAAGTGAACAATGACCAATCGAATTATATATAGTATGTCAATATAATGCGATTTACCTTCAAAGTGTGAGTGCATCACCAATGATTTCATAAATATCTTGAATTTTTCTTGGAGATCATGTTTCTGGTTCACCTTGGTGAACATCATCAACACGTGGTACTCTGTGGGACCCAACTGCTGTGCCTTACTTGTTTTAAAACCAGTGGGTTCCTCAACCAAAGGCACGCGAACGTTATCCTCACCACGGCTTTTGCCATTTTGAAACTGCTCATCCATTTGGGGTTTCAACACGGGCTCATCCGTCTTTGAAGCGCCAACAACAGGCAAGCCGCTTTGGCGCCCACTGTGGCTGCCGACAGGGTCGCCACCGGCCTTTCCGTGGTTGGCTTGCAGCATGAGCTTGCGGGTCGCGCTGGAAAAGCTCTCTTGCCCGCCGGCCAAGTAGTAGAATCCAAAGACGGCGAGCGACGCAATGGCTAAGCACAGCAGCTGGTACCAGCGAGATGACACCACGCGCACCATGGCCCGTCCCACGTAGTGACTAATTCCCATCTGGAGCAAGCCAGTCTGGGTGCTGGGGGGACCAAATCGAGTCATGTAGACAGACACAGAACATTAGTACATTTTTTACCTTCACGGAATGATATAGCACGTTAACCAAGGCGCTTTCCAGAGAATTAACATTGGTACATGTGAATGTAATGGTCATGAGGTGAACACAATATTTTAGAGGAAGCAATGGGGAGAATGTGGTGATGGGTGAATTCGGTGAAAGCGAACTTGATGATTGTAAATTATGGATTGAATGAATGAGGAATTAGTGATAGCCATATGTGAATGTGTTTCACATTTTTGGGTGGCAGGGTGTCGCGGTGGCAACTTTTCGTCTCGCAGTAAAAAGGGAATGGGTTTTAATTCCTGACTCCAGTGCCTTGTGTGGGGTTTGTAATGTTTCCCCCCCTGTTGTGCATGGGGCTCCAGTTTACCCCGACAGCTTCGCCAACACACCTCAATGGGATAAAAAATCAGAAAAAAATACCTCAAAGTTACTTCATTGGGATATCGCCCCCCTACTGTGAAAACTTGACAGGACTCTTGAAACTCTGCGTGGCTTTTCACAGTACTGCACTGTAAATCACCGGAATGAAGGACTTCCAATACAGTACTAGTGTAATGGGCAGGTTGCCAGACGGCAGTCGAGATGGCGAAGTGTGCCAGAGCAGCACCGCGTGTTTGACACACGGGGGTTGTGTCAGTTGCTTCTACGTTGGGTACGTTGGGTACACTGGATAACAACTTTAAATAATGCCGCTTCTGTGAGCAGGCCGAATATTGCTCAAGCTCAATCGACATATAATTCGTATATACATGCTCATGGAATACACGATGGAAGTGCGATGTGGTTTGAGTCGGGTTTATATTTATAAACAGAAATGTATCCAACGACCCAATAATGAGTGGTTGACAGTGCAATAGAACTGAACACTTAACAAAGTTGAGTACTTTATTTCAGCTATTTAATTGTTTACACGAGCAAAGATCCTCCATTTGGATTTAACACTGTTGGGGCAAGTGCTGTTAGCGAGCACCTCATGAAGGCCGGCACGGCCCACGAGGGGGTGGGTGGCCAGCACCACGCTCGGCCGCCTTTGTCTCCCTAGTGGCGATGCTACTCACCGCACTAGGTACTGTACTCATTTGAGGCCGAGTCAACCTAGGCGAGGCCCAGGACCGGTTCAGATCGTCACCGGTGTTAGGCGTGAGCGGGAATCGAACTCGGGTTGGGCGGTTGTGGGGAGCGGTTTTCGCGCTGCACTACCGCTCCCCACAAACATACAATCCCCTCTCTTCACACTCACCCTCTCTCTCACACTCACCCTCTCTCTCACACTCACCCTCTCTCTCACACTCACCCTCTCTCTCACACTCACCCTCTTTCTCTCACACTCACCCTCGCTGTCACACTCACCCTCGCTCTCACACTCACCTTCTCTCACGCCTCACCCTCTCTCTCTCCCTCCCACTCTATCTCACGCTCGCTCACCTCTCGATCTCTTGGCCTGGCGACTCGGATTGTGACCTCTAACCCTAAATCGTGACGTAGCGGACACAGCGCGGTAGCCCGGATGATGAATGGGCGGGGTAAGGGGCGGGGCGATGGGGGTGAGGGGCGGGCTATAATACAAATGTATGATGCGCATTCCATCCTACGATCCCAATGCCCAACGCATGAAAAGTTGTAAATTAAAATAGAATCAGGGCAACCGACCAAAATAAAGCGTGGTTCTACGCCCATCCCCAAACCCGTATAAACAGTTTGCCTTTAGAGGCCGACCCCTTTGCCTGATGACGACCGCTTGTGTTGCGATGGAAACGTCGTGATTTGTTTTCTTTCTAACTATGTGACTTTACCGAAAGAACCAAAGAGTATGGATTCCTGCAGGCACGAAAGCTTCAAATCAAGAGTGAAGGCCAGTTTAAAGAGATGGGTTTTCAAAGCAGACTACCGACTCTGATTGTCTGATTTCAAGTGGCAAGGCGTTCCATAGCTTTGGTGCCACGTTAACAAAAGCTATAATAGGTTATTGTTAGGGTTAGATCGCGTAAAATATATAAATGTGTCGTTAAAACCTGCCACCACCCGACACAGCCAACTAGTAAGGGTTGTCACGTAAACAGAACATGCCAATTCGTCACTAGTACAGCACACCGGTATGTTGGAGAGCCAAGCCACAACATTTACAATCTGAGTACGACGTTTCGCCAGTAATTACAATTAGTTTTAATTACTGACGATGTCGAACGTTAATTACTGACGATGTCGAAGGTGACGACCGAAGACCGAAGCGACGTAGCCCGACGGGATGATTCCAGGAGACAGCCCCATTCTGTTCCCAGAACCCCCTTTTAATCCCCTGAGCCCAGAGAGTTCTGGAGCATTCCACCACCTGCCCTTCTCGTCACCTGTCACATCCACGGGTACCAGAGAGAGACTGTGATATGCACAGTTGCACTCATCTCTCAGTAGCTGGCGCTCAGGGCGAAGTGACTCAATATACGTCACTACATCACCCCCCCCCCCCCCCCCCCCGCTTTATAAAACACAGCCATCCCGGCTGATAACTATCCTCAACCCCAGAAATAAGCCTCCCAAAATTTTAAAGTGTAACAACAACCGCTGACCGAGCAATAAATACAATATATACAATTTCCAAGAAGGGGAGAGAAAAAAATGTTAGCAATGTTAAAAAACCGACCCAACCCCCAGACAAAAGCCCAACCCTACCCCCGTATGCGTGTCACTACCCGCAAGCACAAGAAGGGCCAGGATCAGCCAATGACCCATCCGGCTCGCGAGTTTGACCACCAACAGACGGCGTAGGGGTAATTTGCACGTTGGAAGAAAGTAATTTGAAGCGGACGGTCCTTGAACATGTCCTTGTCGCCGGACCCCCAGGCGGGGTCGGTGTGGGCTCCCTGGAGGTCCCGGGGACAACTTGAAGATGGCCTGATGGGCGTGGCCCCTCCCGAGACGAAGACGGGGAATCAACAGGAGAAGGAGTGGGTGTTTGCCGCTCCCCTCTCCTCAATCCACCTCTTGTGGGTGCAACCGGTGGCTCTAAGGGTGCTAGATGCTGGGACCCTGTGGGCGAAAAAACAGAACTCCCCTGAGGCACAACCTCCGCGGACATACGCCCCAGCAGGTCGGACACACCAGACACCCGGCCGTTGGTTAGTGGGGATGAAGAGATCTCGCCCGGCGGGAAAAACGGTTTCAGTTGCATTGGATGCACGAACCAACGCCGGCGACCGAACTGAATCCGCACACATTTCGGCCGCTTCACCTCTATCAATTCGACCGGGCCTTGCCATGGTTTATACAATTTGGGGGAGGTACCCACTGGTACCTGAGGGCAGTGTAGCCAAGCCCTATCCCCCGATTCCTATTTAGTTGTCGATTCCCGAAGCCTCCTTAGCCTTTCGTTTGCTGACTGTCGCAAGGCCGAATTTTCTCGAGAAGCCTCTTGTGCCTCCAACAAAAGCTTAAGGGTAAGGCGCATAGGGCCGGACATATCAACTTTTGTCTTTTTGGCTCAGCGTTCAATTGTACATCAATTGGGGGGTCCTGTTCTCTCCCATACATTAGAAAAAAGGGTGAGAACCCGGTAGAAGCATGAGGAGCCCTTCTATAGGTGGCGAGAACACCCGGAAGGTGCAAGTCCAAGTCTGACTGGGCTTCGTTGACTTGCTGACACAACATAGATGTCAGGATGCTGTGTAACCGTTCCACCATCCCATCAGCCTGTGGATGATAGGGTGAAGTATGAACCTTCTTGGTGCCCAACAGATCACATACTTCCTTCAACAGTTTTTATGATAAATTTTTGCCTTGGTCCATAAGGACTAACACATAGCCATGAAGGAATGCTTGAGTAATGGCCACAGCTGACTGGTTTGGCAGCGGCCAGGCCACCAGCCAGCGAGAAAGATACTCAACCCCCACCAATACATATTTATTGCCCCGTGGGGTGGTGGGGAACGGGCCGAGAACGTCGAGCACGACGAGTTTGTTTATCCGGGACACTGCAATAGATTCCAGGGGTGGATGACCCATTTTCTGTGGGGGCTTTCGGGCGAGCGCATTCCACACACCCTTTTAACACATTGTAAACATCCCCTGACATTCCAGGCCAAAAGAAATCGAGTCTGAGGGTTGACAATGTTTTCTGCACTCTAATGTGCATCAATCGTTAGTGTGCAGCCCGACCCCCCAGAACAATGGGCACCACAAGGTCATAGCATTGAATCTCTCCATCCCATCTCATCAATAACCCCCCTTTGAGAATCATAGGGGACAACCCTTGTTGGCTCTTCTCACCCTCAACACTCCCGACGCGGTGCCTCAGTTTCAATAAGGAGGCGTCCTCCACCTGGAGTCGCCCCCATTCAGTGTGCGTGAGGCTGATAGTATTGTCACATGTGTCAGCAGAATCGAGAACATCCACTGACGCCACAACAGTCTGAAGCAACCCTGTCTCCACGGGTTTACACCGCCCCGCACCCGTGAGACATGCACACTGGTTCTTTGGTGACAGCCACGACAATGCATCCACATTACCGTGGCGAACAACTTTTCTATACGAGACTTTAAACGAGTTGTCCTGGAGGATCTCTAGCCACTGAGAGAGCTGCCCAGATGGTTGTTCGACCCGCAACGCATACTGGAGCACCGCATGATCCGTGCGTACCTCAAATTCTCTGCCATAGAGGTATGGACGGTATTGCTGTATAAAATGGACGATGGCCAAAAACTCACGACACATCACGCAGTAGCGCTGCTCTGCTGGGGACAATACTCGATTCCGAAATACCAATTCCATTCACTGCCTGAGACAACCCGGCAGCAATTCCGGTGTCACTGGCGTCCGTGTTCAGGATGAAGGGCAAGGGAAATCAGACTATCGGAGGGGAGGTGCCTTGACCAACCCATCCCTCAGCGTGACAAATGCCTCCTCCTCTTTCTTCCCCCATCGAAATTTTTGGCCTTTAGCCGTGAGAATGTGGAGAGGTTTCACGATTGTTGCAAACCTGGGCATGAACCGGCGGTAATAAGGGGCGAACCTGACCAAACTTCGCACTTCACCCACCGACTTGGGGGTTGGCCATGTGCGCACGCACACCGTCTTGTCAGGGTCAGTAGCTATCCCTGATTCGCTCACAATGTGTCCAAGGTACCGAACCCATCTTTGTAACTGATGGCATTTTTGTGGTTTAAATTTGAGATTGGCTGCCCGCATCTTAATAAAAACTGCACGCAACCATTGCAGATATTTCTTGAACGTACGTCCAAACACAATGACGTCAACCAGATAAATTAGGCATTAGTCCCGTTGAAGTCCTGCCAACACCAATTCCACGAGTCTCTGGAATGTGGCTGGACTGGAATGGAGCCCCATCGGGAGGCGGTTAAATTCAAACAACCCTTACGGAGTACGAAACGCAGTCTTTGGTTTAGAACTTTCATCCAAAGGCAACTGCCAAAATCCAGATAATAAATCAAGGGTGGAGAAGAACCGCACCCCTGATAGGGCATCCAGGGAATCACCCATCCGTGGGAGCGGGTATGCATCAGCCACGGATTTCCTGAAGTCTACACAAAATCTCAAACTCCCATCCTGCTTTTTAAAGCTTTCGTGACTGCAGGGATTCATCTTCTGGGTTCACACTCTTTGGTTATATTCGGTAAAGTCACGTAGGTAAAAAATAAAACAACAAAAATCACGACGTTTCGGCCACAACACAAGCAGCCTTCATCAGGTGAAGGGACCAGGCTGTCTCGAGGACAGCGCTGGAGTGAAACACAGCCACGTTCAGACCGCGACCTTTAAGCTGTGTGCGAGGAAACAAGGCGCCTTGACAAAGGAATTAGCATAAAAATTAGCATTTGATTGGCCGACTTAGCATGATGAAAGGTGTAGAGGTGGTGTACATGCGGGTGAACATGCCGGTTGGCGTGGGGGGGAGGGGGAGTTTACCTATTGATGGTGTGAAAAGGGAATTTTTAAGAGCTGCGAAAGTTTGGGGTACCACTACTTGAAAAATATACTGTACCATTGAAAATTAGTTTAATGTTTGGTTCGATTTAGAACATCTTTCCAATGGTTGCTTAATTTGAAACCATCTTCTCGGTTGAAATTGTGTCTGTGTTGTAGATATGAATTGCCTCGTGAACAAATCTCTGATAAAAACCCGTGGGTTTGCAAAGAACCTTGGTATCGGAGAAAATGATATCGTGATCACCCACAGCGTTGTAACAGTGATCAGCTACGGCAAAATAATTCGTTCTGCCGTGTTTCAAATCTGATTTGTGCTCGCGAATTCGGTCAGACATGTCGCTTTGTCTCCCCGATATAGCAATCACCGCAGGTACAACTCAATTTGTAAACCCCGGGGTACTTTAAATCAGGAATGACATCCTTCACGGATGGGATCAGATCACGAATTTTGTGTACTGCATTGAACCGCACCTGGATCTTGTGTTTGTTTAGAATTTTGGAAATATTTTTAGTAACGCCTGCTATATATGGTAGTGTGATGGTTTTGACCGGAGTATCAAGTGGTTGTTTCTGTGT